GTCCCTCCCCCTCCTTTCTCCTCCCTCGTGCCTTGCGCCCCTCGAATCGCCACCGCCGGGTCGTCCTCTTTGTGCAATGGCTGTAATCTGTACCCCCCCGTCATGCCCGAGTCCACGTGCATGTTCAGACAAGCGTCGTAGTCTCGCACCCCGTAGGGGATGAAGAGGAGATGGGTCACGTTCTCCCCCAAGAACTGTCGGAGCTCCTCCGAAAAAGATTCCCGACGGGACGGCTCTCGGTACCCACCGCTGGCCAGGAGGAGACGAGGGTGATAACGGGGAGAGGACGAGGAGGGGGGAACGGCGGCATTGCCAGCCTTTCGGGCTGGCCCCTGGGGCGGGGAAGAAGACGATGGGCGAGAGGGGTGAGGAGACAGACCGTCGACGACGACTGTGAGTGGAGTGCTAGGAAACCACCACGAATACATGCCCATCATTTGCGAGGAACACGACAAGGACGTATGCTTCGACGTCTCTAGCATGCGGCTAATCTTCCATCCTCCTTCTTCTTGGTAAGCCATGCCGATAGTATCGCAGTCTGCCATCCCTGACCGAATGCACACCGCCTCATATGAAAATCCCCTACCCTGCAATTTTGATATGCACCATATATTCCATTGCCCTTCTTTTATCTTCGCATTTGCCCACCTTACCTCATTGTTTTGGTGTACTACCGGGTCCGCCGCCGCCAACATGGGAGGTATTTTATTATCCCACTGCCATTGTTGCGCGCATATGGATACTCTCGGGCCCGCAGCTCTCAGTGGTGCGTCAGAGCACAGACCCCTGTCTTTGCTGCCAAAATTGAAGGCATCTCTCGTGTGCACATTGGGGGTGTTCGGCCGGTAAACAATAAAACCAGCCGCGATCACGACGCCGCAGAAGTAGAAGTATCCCCACAGGCAAATAATACGGGCAAAATTACTATTGAACATGCGCCTCTACACCATTTGTGTACACTTGGAGGCTACCTGTGGCGTGGTACGAAACAATTTTTACTAGGCCATTCCAAAGGTGGTTTTCATTCGTTCCAAGAAAAATATCGCCGGCATCACCGCCTCGCGATCAAGAGGACCTGACGCATACAACGCTAATGTCATGTTGCGCCTGTTTTCATCTGCGTCTTGGAATCCTCTATGGTGCAGTACTCATGCATGATGACGACGTAGGCAGATGTTGATGGCGCGGGTCATGGAATGACCTTGTGATCTTACCTTGGGGCTACTTGCCACGGGTTTGGGAGGGGGTACGTCATCGTCTGTGCCGCTTCCACGATAGTTCCATCATCATGCTTACTTTTTATACTTTATGTTTGCAACAACGACCAGCAATCTCACTTTAGCTACGCTGTTGGTGACGATATCACTTACTTACGTAGGGATAGCCCAGCGCGCCCGGACTTGGCCACGCATTCCTTTTTTCCATCTCCCCTGCTGCATCGTCAACCATGCCACGATCTCTCTTCTCCTCCTTGCTCCTCTCCGCGCTCCTCATTGGCCACATCCACGCTTTCCTCCTGCCCGCTATCACACGCAATATGGGGCAATCGATAGTATTCTGCGCATCTTTGGCTTCCGTTGACGTGTCTTCCCCTCCGTCCATGTCCTCCACCTCCTCGTCCCCTGCCAGCATTCCTTCCGAGGCCGAATGGGCCAAAATTTTCGGCCGCTTGGCCGACAAGGCTATTTTTATGGACGAAAGTGCCGGACAATGCTGCCATTCCGGGTGTGACAATTGCGAGTGGCGGTACGATTTCGACATCATGCGGGCGGCCCGGCCTAAGTGGTTGGTAACCTATGCCGAACGAAAATTCGATTCGGACGCGCACACGGCGAAATGGACAGCTCTTTTTGACCCTCCCGCCTCCTCGCCCACCTCCTCCACCCCCGTGTCGGACGAAGACATGTTCAACACGGAAACCGCCGGTCCTACCTCCCTGGCCTCCCCGACCGTGCTGGCAGAGAGGTTGTCTGCGCTCCCGTTCCTCGCCCCCCTCGGTCCGACCGTGACCGTTACGGCCGACGAACCGTTGGAATCCGAAACTGCCGTGTGGTTGTGGGACAAGCTGCTGCCTCCAGGGAGCAAGAGTGCAGTGTTGACGGCAAGGCTGATGGAGAGGCGGTTGAGGGAATGGGCGAACGGGAAGGACTCTTTGATGTGGGGGGACTTCCTGGCCGAAATGAGGAGATGAGGGGGCAAGATTTTTGTTAAAGAAAAGCGAGAAACGACGCAATTCATGCATAATGCCGACACATTGCCATGTTGCTTCGAACGCGTACTTTATGGCCCCCTGGAGACCACCCGCCAGTCCGCTAGTACACACTCCTTTCTTCTCCACGTCCTCCCTCCTTGCAA